ATCCCAAATCAGCCGCAAATCCTTGAACTCTCGGCCAATTTTCCAAAAACCAAACAAAATTCTAAAATTGCTTGTTTAATCCTCCAATTTTTCAAGTACTTCAATCTCTTCCTTGTCAATTTATCAAATCTTCAATTCTCCCTTTGAGTTACTTTTATCTTCATTTTAGCCCACAATTTCAACAATTCCTCCTTTTGAGTACAATTCCTACAAATAAAGATAAAATCATATAAATAGCATATTTGTACTCAAAATATTGGCAAAATTTCACATAAAGGGATATAATAAATAGGTAAATTATGAGCATATCAAATACCCCCAAACTTGAAATATTGCTTGTCCTCAAGCATTTTCAAAGATTAAAACAAATAAAAACAGTTAATTATTTAATTAGGCGGCCTCAGAGATTTAATATCATATAACACAAAGACCTCGACTACCTCTAGTATGGACTACCTAACAATGCAAACCATATGCACTTTTAGCCCTCACGCTTGTGTGTGTGTGCGATTCGTTTCTTAGGGACATCACTTTTCATTCAACATAGAAAACAAAAGCCCTACTGCAAATATGCCATATATTAACACTTTAACAACAGATTCACATTTCATACCATATTTCAATGCAATGGACCGCCAATCATACTATGAAGTAGAAGGACTTATCTCACAGACAACCTATTCCCCCTCGTAACCTATTCTTCGGTCGATGCGGCTTCTCTTCAGGACTTTTTCCTACTCAGGCCACTACCCAGAGCATTTTTCCACTCCTATACATAGTGGCTCAGTAACTTAGGGTAGTCTACATATCTATTTTTCCTCCCGTGCCTGAGGACTCTCCCCTCAGGTTGCCAATTCCTCACCTCTCAAGGGGCTAGCATCAACATTGAATACTCTTCCTTTCTCCCTCATTAAAATTAACCTAACCTCAGAAGCATCCGCCAACACCCCTCCCCCAAACTTACTTAACACAAAGTATCAAAGTAATTTTAAAGCTAATATTGGGTTAATGTCTTGCTTTTCCTTCACAACATGATGGGTTCCACATACAAATCATATAAGTATGAGTGAATCAAACACAACTTTTCATGGCATATCTACATCAAACTTATGCAACTATGTCTCACTTTAGGCTTATCCCACATTCACGACTAAGTGCATAAAAAGCAGGGCATTCAAAGAAACATATAGAAATACATAAGTTAAGCAATACAATTCAAAATAGTCTAATTCTTACATGTTATAGATAATCAAACCAACTTCATCATAGGCCTTTTTGGATTTTCAATTTTTTCAATTTTTATTTTAATGAAAATAAACACAAAACACACCAAACACAAATTCCTCTCCCCCACATTTAAAATATACATTGTCCTCAATGTATAAAACACAAAAGACAAGCATCCAAGTGAAAAGAAAAGAAAAGACATAAACAAAAAGAATGAAAAGAAACGACACAACCTTGGGAATGTGAAGCGGAAAACGAAAATTGTTGAAGTTGAAGAATAAAGAGATCTGTTGCATAACCATCCAAGCATTTTCCATCACCATTTATTCTAGACAGTAGCTGCCACACATAAACAAAAACAAATGTAAATTTTACCAGGTAGATGATTAAGAAAAACCACGAAAATTTAGAAATCAAAGATTTCCAAATAACCAGGAACAAAAAACTCAACCATCACTTATTCATGAAAAATAAAATAAAATAAAGCAAAATAAAATGTTGGGTTGCCTCCCAATAAGCGCTGTTTTAAAGTCTTTAGCCGGACTCCAGGACTGATCTGTCAGAGTACCCATCTCGATACCAGAAGAAACCATGTCCAGCAGCAACAATGAATATCTTGTAGTGGCTCTCCTTGCCATGAGAAAATATAAACTTATACTCTAAGACCACTATATCCTCTTTCTCAAATTCAATCTTGTACCATTGATCCTCTCCTTGGTCTTTCATTGAATCAACTTTCACATCATCCACACTATCTTTTATACTATAGACAACCTCGCCAAATTTGTCTACTTGAAACCCTTCTTTTGAAACTATAGGAATGTTCTGCTCAGTGAAATCAATTTGATCTACATCCTTGTCACCAACTCCAGAATGAGCGAATTATGCTTAACTACTATGTATATACCAGAAGAATCAGGAGAACTTGTAATATCTTGACTTGTAATCTCTTCGGTCTCTTCTAATTCTTCACATTCAAGCTCAGTTTGAGATGGTGGCTGGGGAGACAGGACCAGTGAATTATCTTCAGAAATCTTCTCATTCTTATTCAATTTAAGCAAATTTCCTATAGGATCATATTCCGGCAACCCCACACTCAACCTATATTGGTTGACCTCTTTGATAAGTTGTTGGCCTTTTTCACTTTGAAAATCTCGAAATTACGTAATATGCTTGTATGAAATAGTTTTTTTTTTTTTTTTTTGTTAAACAAGTCTACAACTACATAAATAAAATTGCATAAGGAGGGGTTTCCAATTCTGGATGACATGGCTCTCACTGGATTTTTTCTAGTAAGGGTTTTAACGAGCCATTATCCTAAGAAATTTCAAGGTTTTTATTTAAATATTTAGAGAATGATAATTTTTTAGTTGGTAGTAAATGATATTTTTCATTAATATATAAATAATTAGTGTATTTTTATTAGTTATTTATAAATAATTTTTTTGGTAGTAAATTCATAAATTTTAGTTTTTATTAAATGTTAATTTTTTATTTAAGTTTAAAAAATTCTAAATAATTAAATAATAAATTTACTATGCAAAATTAAGCAACATTCTTCAAATATTTAAGTTAAAAAATTATTTATTTAACCGTCAAATAAATAAATAAATATACTTAAATAAATAAATAAAATAAATTAAAGAATTAAATAAATAAATAAATTTAAAAAAATAAATTAAAAAAATAGTGACGGCCGGTTGGATCGCCACCCAATTGGTTTGGCGATCGGTTTGCTCGCCAAACCGGGAGGGGGAGTGGTACATGATTTGTGCACCACCCTCTTTTCAGGGGCACAAAAATTGCTCGCCACCTCAAAAATTGCTTGCCACCCCAAAGAGGGTGGCGAGAAAAGTGCATGCCACCCATGAAAGGGCGGCGTGTTTCTCCATGGCTGGCGCAAAAATGTATCGCCCCCTCTTTTTTTTAAAAAAAAAGATAAATATGCGAGGGCAAAATAATCTTTTTAAAGTTTTTTAAGGCGTTCAAATGAAAAAATTAAGGCGTTTAATAGCCTCCCAGTTCCGAAAAAGATGTGGCCCAATTCAGGGTAATTTGTATTTTTCAAGCATATCATGTGTTCAGTGAATGTGTTTCATTTTTATTAGATATAGTCACCATTCAAGTCATTTTCCGTTATTTGTTTTATAGGGAGAACGCTAAGTTGCATTTATTTCTTTCAATGAAGATCCAAGTTGTCAAAATCTATAATTTGAGGGGAAGAAAAAAAAAATAATCAGACATTTACAAAAATAATTTCCAGAAAAAATCAATCGAAACATTCATTATTAATCAATTTTTTTTCTGGGTAATGCCGGGAATTAATTCTACCAAAGAAGGGTAAATCCACACCTAATGTAATTGTCTATAAACCAAAAAGAGAGATAAACTACACTTCGGTGAGACCGAAATATATGACTTAAATAATAAAATCTTGACCTTTCTTGGAATATATGTGAACTAGAAAATTCGGGAAACCAAACATCAGGTAAATTTATCAATTAAATTCTCAATCGGTTAATCTTATATGATTTTCAAAATGTAACCCCACATATTTTTCATCCAAGCATAGTTTGATTCATATCTCAACTTTCCAACTGGCGAAGTCCTTAAATTTCTTCCTTCATAACATATTTTGTGATCACAAATCAAAGTTAATACCGTAGTTACAACATAATATAATTAACTAAATTTCCTACCATCAGGATACTTGTCTTTCTTCCATGACACATGTTGAAGGAAATCATGGAACCATTATTTTAAAGACAAACTTCATCCTACCCGGGACTTAAATCCAACATGAATGCAGCTAATTCGAGTTTCTGTTAAAAGTTAACAAGCCAAAAACAAAATTAGAATTTACGAGTAATGAGTTCTAGATAATAGCACCATTTTTGAGATTGTGCAATTAAAAGTAATTTATCAATTGACATCAGATTCCCTACTTTATTTTATGTTTACTCTTGATGATATTTGAGTCAGCTAAATTCTAAGACTTAAGTCAATTAAGGAACTGAATTCCTAAACTTGTACGGGCAAATGAAAGATGTATCATCCAATTAGGTGTCTGAATGGATTTCATACATGTTTTGTACAAAAAAATGTATAGTTCTTCTGTTTCGGATATGTTTTACTCTAAAAATTAAATAACCTTGAAATCCTAAAGGATGAACGTATCGCATCTCCTGTTTTGTATTTCATAGAATGTGTTATAATAATTTAGGTATTATTTGTAAACAATATACATGTACCTTTATGAAAAATTAAAAAAAAAAAAAAAAAGACATCTTCTCTTTACAATCCCCAAGAATTTGGACTTTTTGGCTGGGGATTCGCTTAAAAAATGATCACTTCTGAGAGGTTTTTTAATTTATAAACAAAAAAAATAGTGGTCATCCGGCAGAAGGTCCTGAAGCCACAATTTATGTTAGTTTTAAGTGAAGAGATTGATTCTCATTAACCCAGGCCAGAGAAGATGAATCAAAAGAAGAAGAGAAATTTCGGAACAAGTTAATGAACTATTAAAAAAAAAAAAAAAGAGTGCAAATTATGGTCATCCTTCGACCACCAATCATAAAATCACAACCCAAAAATTTTTGATGTCCTTCAAAGCCTAAAAACAACAAAGGTGAATTGTATTGGCACCTCTAACGGGTCAAGGCAAGGGGAGAAAAAGAAAAAGAAAATTCTGAAACGAGACAAAAAGGACACTTAAAACAAAGAAAACCAAAACCACTACAAAATGGCCTTCGTTTTGTTATATTTTAATTCTATTAGTTTCCCTTGATAAGAGCGAGAGCTTCAGATTCAGTAGGTAGTGCAGGGATTGCCCCCTTTTTGGTAGTTGTTATAGCTCCACATGCACATGCAAATGTGAGTACTTCCTTCAACCTTGATTCGTCCTGCAGTATTCAAACATAATATAATTGAATTGTTACGACATGTCATTTTTCTAAGTAATTTTACAGTAATAATTTTTTTGCTTATCTATAAACAAATAAAGATTACTAGTACAATTGATTTATCAAAGAATTTGCGAAAAAAAAAAGGAAATGAAATGAAAAGCGTAGAGATACCTCGAGGATAGCTTGGTCGTCAACGATCTTAGTCAGCAGAGCTCCCACGAAAGAATCGCCGGCTCCAGTTGTATCAACGGTATTGACATGAAATGTACCCACGGATCCATGGAAATTCTGCAAGAGAATGAAGTTGATTTGAGCAATATCAGAACCAGATGCAAGTGCCTCAAAAATTACATTTTTTATAAAAAAAAAAAAATTCTAACTAAATTACTATTAGTTGCGTATAAAAAATTGCAAGTTGATCATTGATCAACCCCTAATAAAAAAGAATTAATTATTTTCTGGCCGACAGTTGTCTAGATCTTTGTCAGTGTAATAATTTAGTCATTTGTGACAGTTGTTGAGAGAACTAAAACCACTAATCTAAAAGTAGAACAGAACAAAGTATTTGTGTTATGGTATAATAGATTAGATCATTAGAATAAGAGTTTCAGTGGGTGTGCTCATGGTTTTACCACCATTTTGGTGGGGCCTAAATACAATGAGTAATTAAATATTTATTCTATCTTATGAATGTAACAACATGATCTTGTGTACAAAAAAAGAATCATATTCCAATGCCATATATACAAATATATATATATATATAAATGTTATAAAAGATGCAAAATCCTAGCACACATAACAACACTATGGGGATGAAAATCACATGACCATGATATATATTCAATTGAGGCTTAGTATACTGATTTCACTAAAATAACACCTTTTTTAGCATTCAACTTGATTCAATCAGCTCTAGCGGTAGTAATTACTGAATACTGTTCAATACTTTTGGACTTGTCCCAAAAAACAACTAACCACAACATTACAAAGAGCCGAGTTTTGGAGCATTACCTTAGTGTAGTAGTTGCACCCCTTTTCTCCAAGGGTTACTAAGAGGAGTTTCAAGTTAGGGTGCCAGAGGGACAGTGCAGATTCATCGTCGATTTTGTCACTTCCGGTGAGGAACTCTAGCTCGACATCGCTAACTTTGATCACGTCAGCCTTTTCCCAAATGCTCAAAATCGCCTCCTTCGCTGCCTCAGCCGAAGGCCAGAGTGGGAGACGAAGGTTTGGGTCATAAGAAAGTAAAGCCCCAGCTTCCTTTGCAACTTCCATTGCCTTCAAATGTGCAGATCGGCATGGCTCCACTATCAAGCTTATTGATCCATAGTGAAAGACTTTTGCCTGTTAAAGACAAAGTTTTAATGAAATCATAAAATTTAATTTGATAAATAATAAAAACCAGAGAATTCGTATAAGTAGGTGCATATATTTCTGAATTTAGTGAGCAGTGGACATGTATTCATTTTGCCCCAAATTAATTACATTGTCAAACTCAAATCATACAGTACATGACCCTTTTTTTATTTCTAGTTAAATAATAAATACATATGACATAAAAAATGAACAAACTTCCTTATACATGTATAAAGTAATTTTGAATTATTTCACTTTTAAGTACGAAAAAGAAAATGAGGTTTTGCTATATTTGCTCGCTATTCACGTGCGGACCATTTTCAAGGAGAGAAGGGGGGTGACGAATCAAAACCGTCCAAAATTTTGCCACGTCACCAACCAACAGGCCCCAAGCCAAGGTAGGCAGCCCAAGACAAATCAATTGCTTCTACATTTAGCCTTCTACATATTTCTGTTTCTTTTTGTTTGTTTGTTTGTTTTTTTTTTCTTTTTAAGAATAGTGAATGGTTGCACTAAAAAAAAAAAGAGAAGAGGTAAATTATTTCAAAGCGTTTCAAAACAGAGGAAGTAACGTTAATGAAAACATAAACATACATGCCCAGAAAAGTCAGAACAATAAAAGGTTCATTCAAGGAAACTTATAAATTAATAACAATGCATATACATAGTCAGAAAAGTCACAATTGACAATTATAAAAGGTGTTTGTGAACGTTTAGAAAGTTACCTTTTTCTTTTTTTTTCTTTCCCCTATCCTAAAACATATCTACTTTCTTTTTTATCTTCCGGGGGTAAAGTTGGTAGGTTGTCCTTTTTTTAATTTATTTAAGTTGCTTAACGAATACACTAATAATTAGAGAAATGCTCTTTTTCCTTTTTAAATGAATCATAGGGGTCGGTTTATTATGAGGGACGACTAAACTTGAGTTTTGCCCAAAAACACACAAAAACAAAACAAAATAAAACAAAAATCAAATCGGATCTTACAAAATTTTACTTCGTCTATTTTGAAATATATGTCGTTTTAGAATTTGTTAAATTTTTTAAAATACATGTCATTTTCACAAATCGAAACATATTTGACCACTTTTTACCAAAATTGCCCTTATATCGGAAATGAAACAATATTAATAATAGATTTTTATTGATTTGTGATGAATTTTATAGACAATTACTAAGGATAAATTTGTATTTTAAGTACATTAATTAATGTGTTCTTAGTTTTGATAAATTCTCTAGAAAGACATATAAAAAAAAAGGAGTGAGTATAAAATTACTGAAGTGGGCTTTGATGGCTAGTGGGCTCCAATAATAATAATCATAGTAATGCCTTTCTTTGAAAAAGACGTAATCCCTTTCCTTTAAAAAATTGCAAATTGCACAAAAAAAAAAGTGATTCCTCCTGCATTTCTATTTCTACATTAACATTTGTTAAAATATAAATGATTTCATCAAGATATCGAAATATCAACACTTCACCTAATCATACTCCAAAGTCAATAACCATCCACCCTAAATGTCGAAACCACAAAGTTGACGGCGATCCGTAAACCAGATCTTGGAAAAACTTTTATTCTATCGATTTTAAATGACAATTATTTTCTATGGAGAGATTACATAATTACCCAATATATAACAAAAAAATACGGAGTAAGTGTTTTTTCTTAGGTTTTTAATTAATTTTTTTTGGTACAAAGAAAGAGGCTAAAGACCGACAGAAATTAAATTAAAAGGTTTCATGGATGTCAGACCCGATAATATCGTACTCCATCCACGGTTTTAATCAACTTTGATTGTATTTTTCTTTTGCAACCAAAAACTAAGGAGACTGAAGCCTAAAACCGTGGTGTTACCAAATCTTTGATCATTAATGGGTAGAATAGATATCAGATCCCTTGAAGTTAAAGAAAATACTATATTACTACTAAAATTGAAGATTTAATCACAAAAATATCGACTGCTAATTAATGATCATACTCAGCACATGTTAATGGTGGTAGTAAAGTCAAAGCAACAACTGGGCCCACAATGACCGCCACCTCCCACCACCCCGAAAGAAATACAACAGCGCGTGGGGGCGGCCTTTTAATAGTTACTATTAAGATTCCGACAAAACTCAGATCACAACAGATTCATACATATCTCAGCAAACCCAAAAGGAAAAAAAAAAAAAAACACATGCATAGATTACAAGCAGATTACGAGGACTTACAGATCTAATGAGTTCAAGATTCAATTCATCCGGAGTGAGCAACATATCGGCACTGGGATTCCGGTAGAACATAAACTCACGCTCGCCGTCGGCGCGTAGAGTTACGAAGGCCAGAGCAGTTCTAGCACCCTGGTCAAAGTTGATTCCGTCGCCGGAGACGCCGTTCTCCTTGAGAATCCCGGCAAGCATGTGCCCGAATTCATCGTCGCCCAATTTTCCGACGAAGGCGGCCTTCCCGCCAAGCCTGGCGACGGCGATCGCGACGTTCGCCGGTGCACCACCGGGAGCTTTGAGGAAGCCCGGAGCTTCGGCTAATGAGACGCCTGAAACAGTGGGCACGAAGTCAATCAGCATCTCTCCGAAGCTAACGATCAAGCTAGGTGTTGACGCCATTGAATCTGATCAAGATGGATCACTGCTTTGGATTTTTGTTGAGAGTTTAAAGAGAATTTACAGAGGGAGAGAGAGAAATGGGAGGCCGGAGAGGGAGAGAGTAAAAGAGTTGAAGAGGAAGGATTTTTATACTGTGTTTTGAAAACCGAATCGGGCGACCAGACCGCACCAACGGGACCCAAAAATGGTCCGAGCGTTACGAAAAAGGCCGATTTGGTGATAAATAAACTAACTCGATTAGGCTCTGTTTGCTTGTACTGAATTGGACCAAAGAATTGGAATTAGAGGCCTCCAATTCGAATTCGAATTGGACCAAAGATGGGACTCAATTCTTTATTTTCAATTCTTTTGTAGGAGCAAATAATTACTATTCAAATTCTACAACTTTAATAAAAACTTGCGGGTCAACTTATGGGTTAAAAACGGGTCGTTTTTTGAGGTTGTAAGTACAATTCGGGCGCGTGCTTGCATGCCCTACAGAAGGAAGGCCATTTCGAGACATTCCCAAGTACCCACGCGCAGAACTCCTCTTTCAATTTTGTTTTTTCAAAAAAAAAAAATAATTTTATTTTTTGAAATCTTTTCCCATATTTTTATTTGGTTACTTTCAAATCTTTTATGTTTTTTTCCTCTTTTGCTTAGGAAGTATTTTATATTTTTTTTAATCATCAAAATACAACATACTAATTACAAATAATTACTAGACCCTTATAATTGGAAAAATTTTATGTTTTGTCAATATTCACCAAAATATATCCATACTAAAACATATAGGTAAAGGTATAACTAACTATTTTAACTTAGGTAAAATTATTTTATATTATAGTAAATGATCAATTTAGTAAGGTAAAAATAATTATAAGAAGTACATACGAATAATAAATATACTTATTATACATGAATATAAGATTTGATATTATATACTAAGAAAATTATTAGCATACACAAATTAATGTCAAACTATAATTCTATAAATAAATGAACATTGATATGCATAAACTGAATTTTATGTTAAATATAATTTCTTTCTACTGAAAAATAAGAAAAGAATCAAAAAATTGAAATTAACATTGTACGTGTGTATTTGTTACTTGTTTATGTGTTGAGTGAATATTAGCGCATTAATAATTCTTACGTAATAAAATTAAATGGTCCCAATATTAGGAATAAATTTTGATGTGAATTTTAAAAGTTATTTTTATTTTTGAACCCAATGACTACATGGAAACATGACCTAATAATCAAGTGGGAAATGAGCATTTCTATGAAAAAAAAACAAAAAGAAAAACTTTACATTGACATGTTAAAATCGTCAATGCGTTTCATGAAATCATTTAGAATAATTTCATATATATGCATAACTCTTCATAGCACAAAAATAAAAACTAGTTAATAATTGGTACGCGCTTTTTCTTGGATGGAATTAGTAATTTAATAATTACACTTACATCTCTTTAAATAATGATTAGAATTTTTACTTTTTTTTTCATTTCGAGTCTCCAGTAAAATAAAAACAAATAATAAGCAAAAAATAAAGAAATTTAATCATTTTATATGAAAGAAATTTTAGTAGGCAAACAGTAAACATGATCATTTGTTGGTTAATAAAGGTACGATGATTATAAACAAGCATACAATTGAAAAACCAAAATTTTCCTTTCAATACAAACAAACATAATCAATTTCACCACGTTATTGATATATGTTCGCGTCATCCATTGCTCTTCGATTCTTCCAAAAAACTCAACCACTAGTTGTATGATTCCTGTGGCTTGGTTTTCTACTGCAAACGAAAGAAGATGAGAACAAGAAAATCTGAAGTGAAGAGCGAGAAATAATCGAAAAAAAAAAAAAGATAAAGAAAAGAGAGAGAATTTCACAAACTAAAAAGTTGACGGATTTGAATTACTCGATGTGGAAATCCATAATGGAGGATTACCTTTATTGTAAAGATCTCAATGATCCAATTGAAGATGATGGTGCTAAGCTAGAGATACGATCGAGAAGCAGTGGGACAAATTAAAGAAGCAAACATTGGGTATGATACACCAATGGATAGATGCTAGCTTGTACAACCACGTGAAGAATGAAATAGATCCCCATATTCTCTGGAAGAAATTAGAAAGCATGTACGAGGCTATGAATGCTCAAGGAAAAGTTTTTCACGATTCGTAAAGTCATGAACTTGAAGCTGTCAGAGGGATGATCAGTTTCTTAACACCTGAACGACTTCTAAGGACTCGTAACTGAGTTGGCGGTAGCTGGTATGACACTAGATGACGAGATGCAATCATGCCTGCTTTTAGAATTTCTGCTGGATAGTTGGGATACTCTCGTTGTATCTTTGAGTAACTCAGCTCCAAATGGTGTCGTGACAATGTCTATGGTGCAAAATAAACTGCTCAAGGAAGAACTGCGAAGAAGAGACGTTGCAAGTACCAGTTCACAAGCCCTTGTCACAAAGAATAGGGGTCGAAACAAGAGTAAAGGTCGAGGTCATGGCAAGTTTAGGGAAAGATCCAAAAGGAACTGCAACCTTCCCAAACAGGAGAGAGGGAATCGAAATCAGGACGATGATAGAAACAAATCTGCTACAGCCTTGGCGGAAGAAGGTGAGGTAACTTTTGTTTCTCATAATGCAGATTGTATTCATGTTTTAGATGCAGATACCAAGTGGATTGTAGACTCAAGTGCTTCATACCAGTGTGTTCCAAAGAGAGAATACTTCTCCACTTATAAAGCAAGAAACTTCAACACTATTCGAATGGGAAATCATAGTGTCTCCAAATAGTGGGGATTGGTGACATCTGTGTGAAAACCAGTGTCAGGTGCACATTAACAGTTAAAGATGTGCGGCATATTCCCGATTTGCGGCTGAACCTGATTTCTGGCTATATACTAGACAAGGAAGGATATCACCATCATATGGGTGATGGAAACTGGAAACTCACCAAAGGATCAATGGTGATGGCGATAGGAAGATTATGTTGCTCGCTATATAAGACGCACGTGGTCATCTGTGCGGGTCAACTGAATGCAGTTGTGGATGATGCTTCACCAAATTTGTGGCACAGGCGATTGGCGCATGTTTGTGAGAAAGGGTTGAATGTGTTTGCTAAAAAATCCCTCATACCACTAGCCAAAGGTAAAATAAACCCTTGTGATTATTCTTTATTTGGGAAGCAATATCGTGTTTTATTTCAGAAGAGCTCGAGACAGAGAGACAACGAGTTAGAGTTGGTTCACTCTGACGTTTGTGGTCCAAGGTGGAATCTCTTGGAGGTAACAAATACTTTCTTACCTTTATAGATGATTTCTCACGAAAAACATGGATATACTTGTTGCGCATGAAAAACGTGGAATCTCTAGTATTTTCAACATTTCCACTCAATGGTAAAAAGGGAGACGGGAATGCCGCTGTAGTGTATTCGCACTGACAATGGTGGTGAATACATCCATAGAGAGAGATTATTGCAGTAAGCACGGTATCAGGCATGAGAAGACAGTTCCTAGTATGCCTCAGCACAACGGCATTGCTGAGAGAATGAACCGCACCATTCTTGAGAGAGTCAGATCCATGCTTAAAATGGCTAATCTACCCAAGTCATTTGGGGAGAAGCTCTTGGTACTGTTGTCTACCTAATCAACAAACTACCTTCAGTGCCTTTCCGATTTTGATTTTTCGGAAAAGGTCTGGATAGGTAGGGACATTTCATACTCTCACCTAAGGGTATTTGGCTGCAAGGCATTCATGCATATTCCGAAGGAGTAAAGATCAAAGATTGATGACAAGTCTGTCCCCTGCATATTTGTTTGTTATAGAGACGAGGAGTTCGGCTACAGGTTATGGGATCTAGCTAAGAAGAAAGTTGTCAGAAGCCGAGATGTTGTGTTACACGGGGATGAGATCGTGGGAGGTATAACTGCGGATGGTGCAAGTTCCACAAAGTGGTGGCACTACACCGGAGAGCATTCCAACATATGGTGCCACAAGAGGAGGAATGCTAGAATCAGAATAGGAAGAAGAAGAGCCAGATGAGGGGGATCAAGAGTGTACTGTAGATGATGATTCAAGGAGTGCTGAGTAAGGGGAGCCAGAGAACTCAAATCCACCAGAAGGAGCTAAACCTCGGTTAAGGAGGTCAACTAGAGAACGCCAACCATCTACGAGGTACCCTAGTTCTGATTATCTTTTAATTATTGATGAAGGGGAGCCACAGAGCTTCTAGGATGTGCAATCTTGTAGAGATAGAGATTGTTGGATGAAGGCCATGCAAGAGGAGATGACTTCACTAAAGAAGAATGATACATACGAGCTTGTGAAACTTCCAAAAGGGAAAAAAAACACACAAGAACAAATGGGTGTACAATTTGAAGAAAGATGATGGCAACCTAGTGAGATATAAAGATTGATTGGTCGCCAAAGGTTTTAGTCAAAAGAAAGGTATTGGCTTTGACGAGATTTTCTCACCAGTTGTTAAAATGAGTTCTATTCAAGTTGTGCTAGGTCTTGTAGCCAGCTTGAACCTTGAGTTTGAGCAGCTTGTAAAGATCACATTCTTGCATGGGGATTTAGAAAAAGAGATCTATATGGAACAACCAGAAGGTTTCAAGGTCAAGGGAAAAGACATGGTTTGTTGCTTGAAGAAGAGCTTGTATGGGTTGAAACAAGCCCCATGACAATGGTATAAGAAGTTTGATTCTTTCATGGTGAATCAAGTATACAGAAGGACGGATGCAGATCCTTGTGTATATGTCCGGAGATACCCTGACAGTAAATTTATCATCCTTCTCTTATATGTTCTATATGCTAATCATTGGACTATATGCAGAAATAATTAGCAGGTTGAAGATAGCCTTATCAAAGGTGTTTGACATGAAGGATTTGGGATTGGCAAAGCCAATTCTCGAGATGGAGATTATCTGAGATCCAAAGTCTTGCAGGTTGTAGTTATCGCAGGAGAAATATGTTGAACGAGTTTTGGAGAGGTTCAATATGA